TCGGTATAATTGATTAATAATCGGTTAGGAAATTGATTATTTTTATCTCTACTACCATATGTCTAAGCTGTAACTATTTTTCCGCAAGTGGCGAAAAATGTACTACGTAAGCGCGATAAATTTCGAATTGATACCACAGTTCAGGTATCTTAAGCTGGGAATACATGTAAGAAATGTTACCATTCGTATGTATTTGTTCGTGACGTTTGCAATGAATAAAGATCAAAAGGCGTTCGTATGTGGATGTGCTGAAAATAATTTTCAGTGGTTTGCTACAATTCGTTGCTAAAATTTTTTGTTTAAAATACGTTTAGAATCAGACGTAGGAGATCGAGTAATTAATCATTACAAGTAAGTAGTGATACAGGGTGGTGAGGCGGGTACTGTCTTCACTCATCCTGTTGGCTTCTTTTTAATTCATTTATAATTCTCAACTGAAGCATTAATGAAAGAATACAATAAATTTTTCCAGATATTTCAGATATTTTACGAATAGACTATTTGACTTACAAAATTCCCTACAATTTGACTTACAAAATACCCTATAATTTGACTTACAAAATACCCTACAATTTTGTAAGTCAATTTAAAACCTGTGACCAACCCCGACACGTAGGTAAATAAGTGTTCTATTTTACTAATTTTGATATGCCACGTTAAAAATATAGTTAAGATTTTGACTTTCATTTAAATACAATAAAGTTATAAAATTATTCGAAGTGGTCTACATTCTGTCGAAACTGCCAGACGCGGATCGCGATTTCGATCTTTTTGGATCTCATTAGCGCGTCGCAGGCAGCTCCGACAGAACACAGACCAACTTTTACCTGCTGTTATTCATGCATTTACAGCAGGTAAAAGTTGGTCTGTGTTCTGTCGGAGCTGCCTGCGCCGCGCTGATGAGATCCAAAAAGATCGAAATCGCGATCCGCGTCTGGCAGTTTCGACAGAATACAGACCACTTCGAATTATTTTATTCGATTAAGCTAACGTGCCTATCACGTTGAGGTTGGCTACGCCGGGATTCGTTTTCAGCAAGTAGATATCCACACAAGTGGACCTTGTTGGA